GGATGCGGAAGGGGGAGAAGGATGCAAACTATCCAAACTAACCATCTAAACATCCCCTTGTAGTGTGCTGCTGCTGATTAAAAATGTTACATTTTAAATCATCATAGATATATAAAAATAAAGCATAGATGTGGTGAAAAACATTCAAAGAAGACATTTATTAAACAAACTAGCAGCAATGATTTACAAGAGCAATATGCATTCAATAGACAGTCATGAAATGAAATAGAACAAAGTGCAGGATAGTGCAGAAGTGTTCATACAACATTAATTACACAAAGCTGCAGCAGTGCTTTGCAGTGATTTACAAGAGCACTGATTTTGCATCTAAAAGATAGCCATGAAATGCAATAAAATAGTGCAGGAGTGCTCCGTTTTGCTTTATGTGCTGTTTACCAGCAGGCCTGATGAGTATTAGATGCACACAGCCACTTGTTGTTGCAGTATCCCAGCATTACCAAAATAGGTTGATGGAAGAACCTCTGGTTTAAAAGAGTGACTGAGTGGTGATGAGCATCACCTGGAATGCCTGTAATCACACTGAATTGAATTTTCTCTGCCAAGTGCCATGAAACAAGTTTTTTTTTTAACTGGAGCTATGGATCTGAAACAATAGATCTGAAAAATTTATAAAAATAAAAAGAGCAGAAATGAACACAACAACAAGAACGCTATAAAATGCAACCTAGAAACTATTTACATGTTATTTTAAATGTCTTTTTTTTCCTTTTTTTATTTATTTTTTTGGGGGTCCTTTTTAAATTTATTTTTGTAACTCCTTCTTCCACTCCTCCACGCTCTTACCCCCAAATGTAGCGCAGTAGGAAACACCGGCGACCCTGGTGTGTCCGGTGTCCAGTCTTTTTGGCTGCCCGCACTTGCTGCAGAGGTACCCTTTATTTTTCCTCTGTGGCCCCTCCCCAGCTTCTGCCAATTTCCTCCTCCTGTACAACGTTGATCTTGGCAAACGGGGAGGAGGAGGTGGTGGTGGAGTAGCAGAGGGGGTGGGGGCAAGGTTAGGCAGCGCAGGCCCACTCACAGGCCAAGAGGGAGCCAGAGGAAGTGGAGCAGATGAACCTGGAGGAGGTGGTGGAGCAGGAGGGAGACTCCCGCTGGATGGCCCTGGCTGCTCCTCAGGGAGCTCAGAGTCAAAGGGCTGTCTTTGTCCCACCGGCACCAAGGGCAGCTCCTTCGATGGAAGCAGTGGGCGGCCTTTGGTTGTCGAGTCTGAGTGGGATTCCTGAGGAGGAGGAGAAGGAGCCTGGCTTCCAGGAGAGGAGGGGTGTGGCTCAGACCCGGGTGCACCTGACTGAAAGGCTGCCGTAGAGGAGGAAGAGGGCGACTTTGGTGGGAAGATGGTGGGATCCTCCTCATCCACCTGTATCCCCTCATCCTCTCGCTCGATGATGGAGATGGCAGCTGTCTCATCCGGAGGGTCAGGATTGTCACTAATTTCCTCCAACACGCTGCCCGTCTGCTGGAACAGGTACTCCACCCCGATGAGCTCGCCTGTGATGAAACAGAGAGCCAATAAAAAAAGGAAACAACAAAAACTAAATAAATAACTCTCATCAAGTTCTGCTGGTTACCTGTGTACGCAGCGGGCTTGGTGAAATCCTCAACCAGCTCGTGTCCAAGCACCCTTTTGGACTTCTGGTTGAGGGCGTGTTTGAGGTGGCCACTGTAGGAGTGCAGAGACGCATTGACCTCAGCCGCCCTCGCCGGCGCTGCAGCAGCTGCTCGATCCTCATTCCACCTCACCACTCCGTCTACCAGGAACGCCTGAAAGTATCTGGCACTCGCAGACGTCCCTGAGGAAACAGGTGGATCAGAGCAAACTGGATTCACATTTATGAAACAGAAACATAGACGTGTCTATAAAGAGCTGCAGTTACCTGGGATGAATCGTTCCACCTCCACCTGAACCGTTTCATCCCAGGTAACTGCAGTTCTTTATAGACAGGTCTATGTTTCTGTTTCATAAATGTGAATCCAGTTTGCTCTGATCCACCTGTTTCCTCAGGGACGTCTGCGAGTGCCAGATACTTTCAGGCCTTCCTGGTA